AGCGACCCCTCCTTGGGTTTCCGAGGCAGTATCACTATGGAAGTAGGAATGCCCAACCTTCCTTCCGAGGAGTGGCTGGTGAGTTTGAACCGCCAGCCTTCTGGTTAGCAGTCAAGTGCCTTAGGCACTATGCTACCAGAGCTCCCTATTTATGGTCTTAATGGATACTAATTCAGTTACTATTACATGGAGATCTGTGAAGTACAGTAAAATCTGTGAAAGCTGAAACCTGTGTAAGGCAGAAACTTGTCTAACCCAATAAACCAAGCCCACTGCCATCAAGTCAGTTCCAACTCATGACAATCCTATAGGATAGAATAGAACTGCCCCATAGGGTTTCAAGGCTGTAAATCTTTACAAAAGCAGACTATCACACCTTTATTCCATGGAGTGGCTGGTGGGTTCGAACCACTGAGCTGTGAAAGCCCAGGCTCCTTGGAAACCCCTCAGAGAAGGGAAACTCAAACATTTTCCGCTAACAGAGAGTGATAGAAAAGTGGTAAGACTGCATCCTTTCAAAGGCAGAAAACTTTTAAGACCTAGAAAAACAAGACAGTCCCTTTGAGTTCCATCTCTAGTGGGTTTCACTATATGTAAGTGTTAAAGGAGAGATGATGTCTTCACCTAAAGGCTGAGGGCAATAGCTCTACCTATGGAAAGATACAGTCTGTATTGCCCTTTGAAACAGACAAGTCTGATGATGCTATACCTGATTGTATTTTATGGGACCATTAGAAGGAGCTTGGGGGACACAATCAACTACTGACCTAAAGATTGGAAGTTGGAATCTACCCAGAGGCACCCAGGAAGAAGGTCCTGGAGACCTGCTTCTGGAAGATCACAGCCACTGAAACCCTGTGGAGTACAATCCTGCTCTGGAGATCCAGGGGCCTCCATGAGTCAAATTGACTCCGGGGCAGCTGGCTCGGGTGTTTGGGTCTGCAGAACCATTATAAGAGGAAAACAAAACACTTGGAAGGAAGATGGAAGAAAAAATTATCAAGGCTGGAAAGAATTAGAATGGTTAGAGTGGCTGACAGGGACCAGTTTTTACATCACAAAATGATGACATAAAATATTTCTCTTCTCTTATTGCTATAGTTGACAACACTTTCAATTCGCCAAGTTGGAAGGGGGAGCAACAAAAAGTTTGAGATTGCCAGTCGAAATGGACTTGAGAAATACATCTTGCAGGTAAAGCTCTTGTCTTCCCCATAGGGGTTCTCTACTTTTTCTTTATTACATTCCCATTACTTGACAGGGAGCTCTGGTGGAACAGTACCTAAGGCATTTGACTCATAACCAGGAGGTTGGCAGTTCAAACCCACCAGCCACTCCACAGAAGGAAGCAATCTACTTCCATAAAGATTTACCACCTAGGAAACCAAATGGGGGTTGCTGAGTTGGAATCAACTCAAGGGCAATGAGTTTGTTTTTTTTTGGTTTATGACCTGACAAATGTTTTCTATTGGGTTATTCCAAAGGTTACCCAAAGAATAGAAACCCTGTATAATTAATATTCAGGGTGATCTGATATCACAGTGCTGTCTTATCTGTAATTGCAGGCAGCTTCAAAAGAAATCAGAGATTGCTGGTTTTCAGAAATAAGTAAATTACTGATGGAACAACAAAACAGTACTAAAGGTAAGATTGCCCCTACTCACCTTAGTCTGCAGAGTTATACTGATTCCAGCTTTGTGATGGGTGTGCATATTGGGAATATTGTTAAAGAAAATGGTTTGCTGGGAAAATAAACTGTGGCCACATTTCCACAGATCCTGGAACGCTTGTACTTACTTTAGGTTGTATGGTGGTTTCTTGGTTGTGTGTAGTTGTATGTGTTTCTTTTACTTGCATTCCCCACACATACCTAATTGCCAAGGTTGACCTTCTCAGTCAAAAATCTAAGACTACCCAAAAAAATCTAGAAACCCAAAAGACTTTTTAAAAACATGACACCTAATTCATGTACCATAAAACTCACCCTTTTAAAATGAACAATTCAGTGGGCTTTAGTCTATTCACAGGTGTGTGAAGCTATCACCACTATCTAATTTCAGAACATTTTCATCAGCTCAAAAAAGAAATCTTTGTATCCATTAGCAGTTACTCTCCAGTCACCTCTTACTTCTAAGCCCCTGTCTCTATGGATTTTCCTATTCTGGACATCCCGTGTAATTAGAATCATACAAAATATGCCCCTTTCTCTCTATTTCTTTCCCTCAAGCTTCATCCATGTTGTAGCATGTATTGGTACTTCTTTAATTTGTATGACTGAATAATAGTCTATTACATGGTTATGCCATTTTCATTTACCCATTCATCAGCTGATGGACATTTGCCTTGTTTCCACTTTTTGGCTATATGAATAACACTGCTGTGAACATTAATGTACAAGTCTTTGTGTGGACATATGTTTTCAATTCTCTTGGATGTATACCTAGGAAAAGAATTGCTGGATCATATGACAACTCAACGTTTAAATTTTTGAAGAACTGCCAAACTGTTTTCCACAGCAGCAGCCACACTACTTCACATTCCCGCCAGCAATATGTGAGGGTTTGATTTCTCCCACATCCTCATCAACTCTTGTTATTGTCATCTTTTTTATTATAACTATCCTCATAGGAAGGAGCTCTGGTGGCGTAGTGGTTAAAGCATTTGGCTGCTAGCCAAAAGGTCAGCAGTTTGAACCCACCAGCTGCTCTATGGGAGGAAAGTGAGGCAGTCTGCTTCCATAAAGATTTACAGCCTTTGAAACACTATGGGCAGTTCAGCTCTGTCCTAAAGAGTCCCTGTGAGTTGGAATTAAGTTATGGCAGTAGGTTTTGGTATCTTAGTACGTATGAAGTGATCTGATTGTGGTTTAGATTTACATTTCTCTAGTGAAGGACCTTGGTGATTTGAACCAACCAGCACTTCCACTGGAAAAAAGACCTGGCGATATGCTCCCATAAAGATTAAAACTCCATTGCTGTGGAGTCCATCCCAACTTACCTATAGGACAGGGTAGAACTGCCCATTAGGGCTCCCAAGGCTGTAATCTTTATGGAAACAGACTACCACTTTTTTCTCCCGTGGAGTGGCTGGTAGGGTAAAGCCACAAACCTTTCATTTAGCGGCCAAGCGCTTAACCACTGCACCCAGAGCTCCTTCTCATAAAGATTACAGCCCAGGAAGCCCTAGAGAACAGTTCTACTCTGTAATGTAGGGTTGCCATGAGCTGGAATCGACTCAATAGCACACAACAGCAACAACGACTGATGATATTGAATGAGCTTTCATGTGGTTATTGGCCATTTGTATGCCTTCATTGGAGAAATAACTATTCAAATTATTTGCTCATTTTTAAATTGGGTTATTGCTTTCTGTAGGTGAATTGTAATTTTTTTCCACTCTGTGAGTTGTCTTTTCATTTTCTTGACAATGTCCTCTGAATCACGGGGCTTTCATTTATTTATTTTTCTTTTGATTGCTTTTGCTTTAGGTGTCATATTCTAAGAAGCTATTGCCTAATCCAATGTCATAAAGATTTATTTGCACCTGTGTTTTCTTCTAAGAATGTATAGCTTTACTCTGACATTCAGGTCTTTGATCCAGTTTGAATTAATTTTTGTATATTGTGCATTCTTTTGCATGTGTCCTCATACCGTTTGTTCAAAAGATTCTTTCCCTGTTTAATGGGTGTTGGCACCCTTATTTAAAATCAATTGACTATAGATACACAATTGTTAGTTGACTGTCTTTTTCTTGTGTTGTTGTTGATGTTGTTATGTGCCGTCGAGTTGGACTCGACTCATAGCAACCCCTCCTTGGGTTTCCGAGGCAGTATCACTATGGAAGTAGATTGCCACATCTTCAAATATGTCATCCTACTGCCTTCTGGCTGATAATCTTGTTGAAGGGCCCTTCCACATGGCTGGTCACCTCTCTCCTTTTGCTTTCAAGGGTCTATCTTTGTCTTTTGACAGTTTAATTATCACATATTGACGTGTGAATCTCTTTGAATTTATCTTTCTGGAGTTTGTCGAACTTCTTGAATGTGTAGATTATTGTTTTTCATCAAATTTGAGGAGCTTTCTGCCATTAATCTTCAATGTATGCATTTGTGCATGGCCAGGAATATTTCAAACCTTTGCAAAGTCCTTATGGACATTTCATTCCCAAACGTTTCCTTTTAAACTTCTTGGTTAGCCTTAGTTGGCTGCAACTCGTATCCAGTGCTTCAGGAGTTAAATAATAGAATTAAATTAAAAAATTTTTACTCTAAAATTAAATAAATAATTAAAAAGTTATTTCTAAAACTTATTTCTAATCATTTTTGACAAATGCTCCTGGAGAAAAGGATTTTCCCACTGAATGAGCTCCAAGTCAAGTCTAATAAAAACAGCCTTACAAGTGGGGTATTCCAGGGGAACCTAGACAAGTCAAAATGATTAATTATCCAGGAATGAGGCTTTGAAGGAACTTCCACCTTGTCCTTCCCCCTTCATGACTACCAGACTACTTGTTTTCACCATGATTATCGTCTTGGTTTCCATGGAGCTAGAGGTGGGAGATGGGCCTAGAGTAAATTGAAATACCACAAAGCTCACTGTTCTTACTGAGATTGAGCAGTTTTCCTTAAATATATGCTCTCTATATTGCTATCAGACTTTAATTAATACCTAGAGTTCTGAAAAATAGGTTCTGACCATTTTTTGCCAGTTTTCCCCTGCTTTTATGGAGGAGAGAGTTTTTGGAGGTTTTATTCATCCATCATTTTCACTGATGTCACTCAGTATGTTGTTGTTGTTGTTATGTGTCGTCAAGTCAGACCCAACTCATAGCGACCCCTCCTTGGGTTTCCGAGGCAGTATCACTACAGAAGTAGATTGCCCAACCTTCCTTCCAAGGAGTGGCTGGTGGGTTTGAACCACCAGCCTTCTGGTTAGCAGGCAAGTGCTTAGGCACTATGCTACCAGGATCCCCTGTCACTCACTATAGTGCTTTTAATAAAAATGATCTTAGAGTAGACTTTACCCTTTCACATTTGTTTTTCCAGTAATTTTGATGACAGTAAGGAGCTCTGGTGGCACAGTGGTTAAAACATTTGGTTGCTAATGATTGGAACACCCTCCCCACCCCCGCCCCGCTGTTTTGTGGGAGAAAGATGGGGCAGTCTGCTTCCATAAAGACTTACAGCCTTAGAAACTCTATGGGGCAGTCCTGCTCTCTCTTCTATGAGTCGTAATTGACTCAATGCTCTGGTGGCATAGTGCCTAAGGCATTGGCAGTTCAAACCTAGCAGCCATTCCATGGAAGGAAAATGGGGCAATCTACTTCTGTAAAGATTTGCCCCCTCAGAAACCCAATGGGGGTCGCTATGAGTCGGAACGGACTCGAAGACAGTGAGTTTGGTTTTTTGTTTTTTAAAACAGCAGGGATATTTGGTGGGAAAATCCACACCAAGCTACATCCATTGAGTTCTCATGTTTCCATAATGTTGCTAAGGTTAACAAATACCAGTCTCGTGGACAATCTGTCTCCTGCCATTTACTCTGGCAATGGTTTGTGTGTGTGGTAGGTAAAATTGTGTAAAAATGAAAAGATAAATTTTGTTTTCAGAAGCTTAGCAAGAATGCAACATTTCACACTCTTCTTGTTTCTGAGGATGTGAAGGTGGTAGGTGTACATCATAAGATGTGGAAAAAGATAAAGGCGTGTGATAGGAAAACCACCATGTTATTTTCTGTCATAATAATGAAGTGAAATAGGTTTTTTATTTCAACTGTAGACTCTGACAGGAAATAGTAACAAGACGACGTAGTTGATTTTAATTTGTAAAACGTTAGATGAGAAAAGCTAAGGTTGACATTTGCTTTTGAACTATTAATCCTATGTAATGGAATTGAGTATGCATGTCCTAGAGGCATGAAGCAGAAACGTATAACAGCTCTTGTAGAAAAAAAGACTTGTTTTTCCCAGAAACAACATTCTAGTCACCAGACTGTTCTAGAAATGCTTGATGCTTAGATCCATGTTTCTCAAAGGGTGCTGTAGGGACCTGCATCAGAATTACTTGAAGGGCTTGTTACAAATGCACAGTTTTGAGACAGAGGCCTTAAATACAATTTTTTTTTTCAAAAGACTGTATTGATATGTAATTGACATAAATTGTATATATTTAAGGTGTACAACTTGGTAAATTTTGACATATATACACACATGTGGGAACATCACCACCATCAAGAAAATGAACATACCCATCACTCTCAAATATTTCCTTGTTCTCCTTTTTATTCCTTCTCTCTTGCCCTCCCTCAGCCTGCACTGCTCCCAGGCAGTCACTGATCTGCTTTCTGTCACTATAGATTAGTTCACATTTCCTAGAATTCCATACATGGAATCATACAGCATATACTTTTTTTTGAGGGGTGTATGGAGGGTCTCGGAAGGAAGGTTGGGCAATCTACTTCCATAGTGATACCGCCTCAGAAACCCTAGGAGAGGTCGCTATGAGTTGGATCCGACTCCATGGCAGTGGGTTTGGTTTGGTTTATGGAGAGTCTGGCTTCTCTGTCTCAGCATAATTGCTGAGTACTGTTTATTTTTCATTATGTATTGCTGAGTAGTATTCCATTTTGTGGGATATACCTCCATTT